CTTCTGTCCGGAGTCCTCTCTCTCCCCCCCACCCCCGTCATCCTGTATCTTTCGCTCTCTCCCCTCTGTGGATGATCATGAATGTTGTTGTTTTTTTTTTTTTTTTTATGGTAACACTTTATTCCATCACTTTCAGGCATCAATAAACTTTGTGAGCAACAGTGACGGCCGGCAGGTGAGTGATACTTTACCACCAACTATTGTTCATTCCCCTTTCAGCAGAGAAAAAGGAAAAAATGCTCATTGTGTGTGAGCCTCGGTGAATGGGCACAGCGTGCAGCCGGTCCTGGCATGGACTCATTTTAGGATAGGCGGGAGGTGCCTCACTGTTTACCTTTCCTGTGTGTGGACACCATTAGTATGAAAGCCGAAATATAATGCTGATTTATTTCCCCAGATTGCTGCATCTGTTTCCTTTTTCTGGTTCATCTCCTCCAATATTCTAATACATAGCATCCCCTCTTCCCATCAGGCCTCCTCTCCCACCCCCAGTGATGGACTTCCTTCCCACGCCAGACAAGTCTACAAAGCCTTTGCTGCAGTTCCCTCCGCACACCCGGCCTCCGAGCAGCAGGTAAATGTAATCTCTGGGCAGTCAGCTTCTGCAATACAAATGCACAACATCCTCTCTGATGGGGGACTAGGCTTTGGATGCCAGTCCCATAAATGCATTGGCTTTCCATAACCCTTGCTGATTGTAGGGTATTTTGGAACCCTGCCACCTTCCATTCAGGAATATGTCTTGGCCACCCTTGTGGTGAGATCCTGCCCTCCATAGTTCCTGGCTTCACTACCACTCACATTGAGGTGTTCCTGCTCCTCCCGTTGCATTCTCTGGAGTAAATCATAATTCAGCCGGGATGGTGGGCGCCCCTCATATTGGGCCTAGCAGGTTTGCAGACCTGGAAACTCGGCGTGGGGAAAATGGGAGCCTTTGCTAACGGGCACAGCAGATGTACAGATCAAGAGATCTCAGCAGTAAAGCCCCTGAGAGATGACAGAAGCTGTCGGGTGGTTTGAGAGGCACAGTCACTTTGCCCATTCAGAGATAGCCTTGTAATAGCCCCCCTTCCCCTATAAAGCAATGCACATGCATCCACTGTCCCTCCCTGCTACTTTGGAGCCCTTGCTGTGCTGCTTTTGCATAGTGGAGGTTCCTGATAAAGGGGTTCACATGTCCACCTTCCCCAAAAAACAGTGCAGCCAATCTACTGGACCATACACCATCATGTTGGGTGGGGGAGGGCAGTGATGTCATCCATCCAGGTAAACAGAGACACGGGAGCTTACTCAGGATTGACTCTTCCAGCTGGCAGACAATGAAGTATAGTGGATGGGCATGTTGCCCTTGCTCGCTTTAAAGCTGTACTCCAGGCAAACAGCCAAATGCATTAGATGCTATACGCCTATGGAAGCTGTTTTACCTGCCAAAAGATTTGTGTTTTCGTACATTCAGTTCTGAAATATAAATGTTTTATATGATTTCCAGGAGCCGACGACTCCCCGAACACCTGACCGACCATGTTCAACCCCTGAGGTGAGCGTTACCTGCCTTGCACTTTCCCTGCATGTGTGTGTCTTTCCATTCTCTTTTGTATACATTGAATACATTGCAGGGTTTTATGTCACAAATCTGGTCATTAATGTGTCACCACACATTCCTAAAGCCAACCTGTGTGCCAACTAAAAGAACTCGCTAATAGGAGGAGAAACGGTCTCTGTCAGAATCTGTCCCACCAGTGCCAACTGCAGCCCCACTGAACCTACTTCACTTCCAGTAAGACAGCGCCTGGTGCCTTGGCAGGTTTTAGCTAGGGAGGAGGAGAGTACATATGGATATAGAGACTTTCGCAAAGGGCTTTGGTTTGCGAATGAGTGACAGAACATGACAGAGGTTTGTCCTGGCAGCTTGTGGTGTCAGATATTTGCCTGTAATAGTTCCATAGTCGGCACACAGGTTCACTTTAGATTTGTGTAGCGCAGGCATCCCTGGACCACTATGGTTCCTCCAGAGGTTGCTAGGTGTTCCTTAAGCAATGTTTGAGTGTCTGGTAAGTAACTGACACTAATGAACTTCTTAGCTACTGTATCTGTAAAGTGGACATTCTTCCCCCTGTCCACCAATGCAAGGGGCAGTCCTTCCTCTGTCCACCAATGCAAGGGGCAGTCCTTCCTCTGTCCACCAATGCAAGGGGCAGTCCTTCCTCTGTCCACCAATGCAAGGGGCAGTCCTTCCTCTGTCCACCAATGCAAGGCCTACTCTTGTCTCTGGCCACCAATGTGGGGGACATTCTTGACCGCCCATGCAAGCAGGATTCTTCCTACTGCCCACAGATGTAGGTTGCATTATTCCCACTGACCACCAATGTTTTTTCCCCAATATCCCCACCACACCCCCCCCCCCCCCCCC